TTTTTATTAGTGTATAATAATGCAAAAGAGTGGGTTTCATTGTGTCACATTCACACGTGCATGTAACAAAATTGGGCCTATTTCATACTGTTCTGTACTTCTGGCTATTATACAATGGTCACTTCCCTTTCTGCTCATCCTTCATTTATTTGATGATTCATGGACTATTCCTATATTTTTATTCAATATCAGTCTTACTGATTTTAAATAGTACATGCAGATGAAATTTGCATGTTCCTTTATCTCAGGAATCCAAAGTATTGTGTCAAGAGTTGTATGTGGGATACACATAGAAAGTACCAGCTCAACCTTCCTATCAACCTGTCAAACTCCAACTCACAGTCTTTTCGCATAAACAATGCTTTTATAAATGTCTTAATTATTCTCTCAAATACCCAATAGTCACCGGATAGCACTCTTGTCTGTCTTCCAGATTGCTTCTCCAGGGCTCAGTTTTTATATCCAAACATTTAATTCAGTTGCTTCCTCTTCATTTCTATTGTCATTTTCTTTCTTTTGCCTTCAATGTATGCATTTTTCCATCTTAACAATTGAAGAAGCCATTGTCTCTTTTCTTCCCCAAGCTCTGGCTCTTCAATAGTCTGTTTCCAGATCTGTTGCATATCTAAAGTCAAATACGATTACTTGCTAATACTATTGAAGGCCTTTTGTGGGTCTATCACAAATAAATTTAATTTATAGAGCATATCTCATATGATACCAGGAGGTAATCAGTACAATTAGAATTTAGATGATATTTCCATAAATATTTTGGGAAGGGAATTAGTTAATCAGTAACTGGATAAATTAAAACTGTTTTTAAAAACAGGAAAAATCAGTAGAACAGATAAAGGGAATTGAGGAGAAAGAAGAAAATATGGGAAAAGGGGAGGACTGTGGAATGAATCCAACCAAACTTGTGAATGTGCATGCATGATTACGGCATGGTGGGGGATGGAAAGATAACAGTGGTTGATATGTTGTTTACATGTAAGAATATATCACAATGAAACTACTTTTTTTGCATAATCAAAATGCACCAATTAAAAATTATAAATATATATATATATATGCTAAATAATTTCTAAATTAGTGGGTGTGATGAAAAATGAAAACTCCAACATCGGTTTGTGTTATACTTACTCAGAGCTACCACTACTGGAAACAGGCTTTTGTTGATGAACTTTCTTTGGATTTTACCTTACTTCTAAAATGAAGTCCAGTTTGTTTTCTGCAGTGAGAACTTCAGTGAGAAGGTGTCCTCCTCATTGCATATGAAAGGGACTCTGGGTGGAGAAACTTTTCAGCTGTGTGTTTTAATGGAGCAATGATTGGAAAGACTCTCCCTCTCCTTCTCTTGGGGATCCTTAGCCACCTACTTTCTCTCAACTTAGTCCTCAAGGGACATGAAACTGTGCTGGATTAGAGTTACTCCAGTCAAAGAAAATTAAAAGTTGGTTCAAACAGCAAAATGATGTTTAGCATTTGTTCTCTGGTGTGTGTAGAGAAAGTAACACTCTTCTATTTGTTGTGGGTCTCTGATGTCACATGACTGAACCTAGATGTGTGTTCTTCAGAATTCTGTGGAGGGCAGTTCTGGCCAGCTCAG